CAATATACATAACCTTAACATTTGTACCTCCATAATATGCTGAAATAAAAATAAATAAATAAATAAATAAACGCAGATATTTAAATGGTGTAAGTTTTAGGCAAATATAAATAATAACAATGTGCTCTAAATTTTCTCATTGGTCCTATTTTCTGGCCCCTCCCTCAGCTAATTTCTCCCCTTCCTCCCTGCATTCTCCTTTAATTGATGATCCCAGAACCAAGGGCAAGGTGCCAACAACACATTTCAATAAGCCCTTACAGCAAGACACATTTGATGATGACAGTTTGGATAGCTCAGGCTCTCTCGTGCTGAAAATAGTGGGAGGAAACCCTTGCAGTTTTTAACTCCTCTTCTTTTAACTTTCTGGCTCTTTCTGCTTTTGCCTATTTTCTGGTAATGCTGCACAAAGACAGTACTGACTATAAGCCCAATTTATCTTTTGATAAAATCAGTGGAACAAGAGCCAATGTTATCAAATAATAAGCTGCAAATAAAGGCACCTTGGTTTGACTGGCATTACAGAATAACCTGTCCTAATTTCTTGTCATCTTTCCTCACCAATATGACACCTGCATTCCTTGGTGGAATACTCATCATCTCAGTGGCACTGCTAAGAGTGGATTAAGTGGCAGATACATCAATTTGCACCCTTAGGAGTAGCAGAAAGATAATCATGACAAAGCAGGATAACAGTGATGATGAAGAGGAGGAATTCAATGCAGTAAAATAACTCAGGATTTCTTTACTAGATGTAGTACTTACAAATCTCTATTTAAACACTTAGTCACCTCCCAGTAATCACAGTGGGTACATTATCCACACTGTGGGCTATGCCTGGCCACTTGTTTACTTTGGGGTTGAATTTTCTATGCTGTGTTTCAATTTCTAGGGTCATTCATCAGCTGATCATATCTATGCATTTCCTTTCCACTCCTTTCATGTACAAGTAACTGCAAGCAGATAAAAGGCTAGACGGACAAAAAAGCTAGATAAGTGTACGGTGGATGACAGGAAAGATAACATGAGGCCTCATCGAGATCCCTGTCTAGGACCTAGCTCATAGTAGGCACTCAATAAATATTTGTTGAATTGAGTCAGTGGGTTTGTTGGGAAATTAAATTAGAAGACTTTTTCAGTTTCCTCCCACCCTGACATTCTGTGACTGCTCAGAACAAAAAGACAGAAAGGCTGGGGAGCACCCAGGAGGTGGATGCCCAAACACAGGAGCAGCAAGCCAGGGGAGCTGAAAGGGATTCATCGCAGGCCGAAGTGAGTAACTTAGGGCTGATCCAAACTGGCACACCCCAGCAGAATCCCTGGTCCTGGGTAATGCCCCACAATTCCCACCCAGAGTCTAGGGGACTAGAAAGCAGTTCTCTTAAGATTTCAGGCGTAGACAAGATCTCAAGTGAACCCCCAGGCCTTAACTTATTTAGGAAGCCTGAGAAGGGGGTGTGTATGTTGATGGGGGTGGTAATACTGGTTTTGAGGTCCTACATTTTATGATGCATGTTTTTTCCAATATCACAGAAACCTTGAATTCGAGCCAAGAAGGATTCTTAAAAATTATCTAAGCCCACCTCTAACCCAGAAAGGAAACTCCTTCTATAGCATCCCTAACAGAGGATCAACTAGTCTCCAGGAATAAGTTCACTTTTTTCAGAGGCAGCAGCAGTGATGCTGGACAGCTCCCATGTGATCTGGTCTATCTTCACTTCCAAGGCCTAATGCTAACTTCTACCCATTGATGCAACAGAGACTATGCCTTTTCCCTCGTCTTTGGGGAAGCTCTCCTGAAATCAGAAGTCAGAGTCACTTTTTTCTTCCATCTTTATGCTGCAGAGACATGCTTTGTGGATGCCTTAATGTGCTGCTCCCCTGACAGCACTCTAACTGGTCTATGTAGTTCTTAAAATGGGGCAAGGTGAATGCTGCAGAGTTCAATGCAGTGGTCTAGATATGGCCTGGCCCACAGAGACAAGAGTGGGACTATTTCTTCCTATTCATTTCTAAATTATCACACTATCTGTTTAATCATCTGTTCCAGAATGGTGCCAAAAATGGCCAAAAAGCTGGCTGGCTCCTTAGATTCTGGGATCCTCTTTCATCACTCATTTGTCCTTATTTGTTTATCTTCTGCCGGCTGGTTCATCTCCTAGGCTACCAGTGTAGTCACATCCTGGCTGCCTTTTACTGTTACTGGGTAAGAAAAATACACAGGTTTTCCCTAACTTTCTCAAGATGTCTATTCCTGCTCACCACGAATTCTCAATCTATCTGGCATACAGAGGCTTTAAATATTGGCTAAATAAATAATGAATAAATGAATCTCAAATGACACCTACAGGCTTGATCACACCAGTTGGTAGCAAACATTCCACCTCCAAAGGGAGCCTGTCCTTTTAGCCTCTTAGATCATGGCCCAGATAAGTAATTTCTTCTCATCAGTATCATCTACTAACCTAACTGTTCATTTTCATAGTCCCCTTCTCTCTCAAAGCCATGACTACACAGAAGAGTGGCAAACACTATGTGACCCATTAAGTTCTTCAGTTTTCTTACCCAAACTTCATTATCTTGACAACAATTCTGTTCCAGATTCGTTTCCAACAGCCATCATGTGTGAACTTATGGCAAATAAAATTAGGAAGTGACTAGTGGGCGTGACTAGCTGGTGGACTCTGCAGCCTGCCAGGGACTTGCACGGCTGATGAGCACAGGTCCCTCAGGAGGGAGGCAGCAGGCATCACACAATCATACTTCCCACTGAAGGTTACAACAGGACGTTTGCCTGCCACCTGCCAGCACCTGTGAAGAACCTTCTCTGTTCCAAGTAGCACAGGACTCAATGCTCATGATCACCCTCTGAGAAGTGGAGAGGCTGCATCTGGTATGTTCCTTCAGTGACAATGTGTAGTTTCTCCTCCTTTTTCATGCCCCTCCTCTCAGGCCCTCCTAGCTTTCATCCCCTTCACCCCAGAGGAAATCTTGTCTTTGTTAATTGCTCCCAGTCCCTTTTGTCCCACTCTTTGCTCAACAAGTCCAAATGAATGAAAGTGTTCTTCCTACTCTTTCTCCTTTAATTCTAAAGAAAAGATGAGCATGAATTAGCTTTAGGTATGTGATGACCATGCAAGAAAGAAAAATGTGCCCTTCATATCTCCTGGGATCCCAATTTCTTCTGGCTCTGAAAGAACTGAGAGTCCATCATGGGTCCCTATAAAAACTTCTATTGTAAATTGCCTTAGAAAATGCCTGGTTTTATGCCTATTATTCATATACTTGGAAAAGGTGTTTTAAAAAACTACTTGGCTCCTAAATGGCTAAATTGGTAAATTATCTACAGCAATCACAAGTTATTTAGTCCATCTCTTGCCGCTGAGACAGATAAGAATATTTCTTCTTATAAAGACCTCTAGAAAAAAAAAAAACTTCTATTCTTTAGTTCATTGTCTCATGTACTCAAAGTTTAGAAGTTCTTCTTTGGATATAACCCAAATTCCTTTCACTGGAGCATAAGACCTTTTGTCCTTTTTTCTGGTCCCCAGTGGATATCATTAAAAAAAATAGATACCATTTAGCATCTGTTTGTTCGCAGCCTTCTGCTTGAAGCTCTTCAGGGCTCGCCATTCCATTCAGCATCCTTCCGAGCATGTGACGACTGCTCTTAAAGTCCCCTTTACCACCTGCCCATCACCATCACCCAATCCCTTTACATTTGTCTTTCCTGCAGCCATCTGAAATGTAGTGCGTGCCTCACTCCACATCTGCTGCAAGAACTTAATCAGCACATTCAAAAATTATCCCAGGTCTCCCAGCAAAGGCAGAGCTGGATATATAGTGTCTCTTGTAATTCGCTAATGCTCCTATAAAATGCAAGAGACAAGATGAAGGTGCTGAAAGCGCAAGGCACAACTTTTTATTTGCCACAACAAACACTTGTCAGGCTCTGGCTGCTCAAAGACAGAGAGAGCAGCATCTTTGCTGGCTGAAATCAAGGATGGTGAGAGAGCACTGGGGCTAGATTCGGGGGTTGAGTTCCAGGCCAAGCTCTACCACTGACCTTGTGAGCGTCCCATGCCAGCCTAGTTCCCTAAGCAGAACATGTCATGTATTTGCCTAGATTGCTCCTCGTCCAGCTCTTACATTCTGTGATTCTCTGACTAGGTGAAGACCTTTTCTCTCCCCTCTCAAAGGCATAAACCATGTTTATGGCATGTCTCCCACACCCACTTCCATGGCCACCACAGCCCAGAGCAGTATTTCTCATTCTTTTTTTTTTCATTATTGCCCTCTGCCCTGAAGGAGCCTTTTTAAACTTTTTTCTCTAATTGTCCCACCTAGTGAAATTTTAATACTATACATATACACATTGGTGTGTGTATCTGTGTATATGTATATATGTCTGTAATTAATATTATACCTGAAAGAGTAAAATTCTTTTGCTATCCCCAAGAACCAATTTTCACTTCCCTTGGGGGCAATATCATCCCCATTGAGAATGCATTACCTAGACTGAACTGAGGGCCTCCTCTAGCTGAGGAATACAAATGAGTTATTTACCCCAAACTCCAAAAGCCAGAAATCTATCCACAGCCAGAGCTTTTGAAAATAACCTATTATGCCAGTCAGAGTAGAATCAACCCGAGTCTTCATTTGCTAGGGTAAAGAGCAGCTTTCCATCCCTCATCCTCAGGCCACACCGTGTCCCAGTGCAAGCCTCATACTTGTCCTCTTGGCCAGGAACCCTCACCTCTGCCCACAGTGCCCACTTCCATGCCCACCCATTCACACGAATCCCAGCAATAACAGCGGGAATGACAGGAATGAGGCAAACAACGGGGGCAATGGTGTTCCAGGAATAATTAGAACCCACTCCAAGGGCAGAAACAACCTGCGTCTCTGGTGAGGAAGGAGCTCCTTCCAACTCATGAGCATCAGCCCAGCCCCCCTCCCCTCCTTCCTCCTCCTCTGCAGGCCACTCCCCCTCCCCTTACCTTGGCACGCTGGCCAAATATGTCACAAGTTTCCGCAGGTCTTCCTGTCTTATTCTGTCATGATTGCTGCGAGCAGGGAAGGTCAGAATGGGTCCACCTCGCTTATCACGGCCCCCTGCAGGAAGGAGGAAATGGACAGAGTTTAAGAAAACCAGGCGGAAAAGGGAAAAAAATAGAGGAAAAAAAATTCTGAGTGCTGTATGAACAGGCAGAAATACAGTGCCCAGAGAAACCTGGTCACTGCTTAGGACAAGGCAGGGGATCTGGATGCAAGTAACGTGTGACCTTGGGCAAGTCTTTTGACTTTTCTGACGTCTCATCTGTAAAAGGCAGATGAAAATTATAGTGGGCACATTGCAGGGCTGTTGCAAGGACTGATAAGACAGCACATGGGAAAGCACTTTGGAAAATAAAGCTCTTTACATACAAATGTAGAGATGATAATGTAGATGATAACTGTGATAACTGTTCTTATTGAGAAAACAAGCTAGTTGAAAGTGCTACATTCTTTGGAAATTTACTTCCAATTCACTTCTCTTTGCAGACCTCTGTGAGGTAGGAGTGCTCGTGATGAACTGACTACAGACCTCAAAGCATCCCTCCTGGGACAGCATTGCTGGAAGGATTTTAGATTCATAGAAAAGGCAGTGTTTTCTGCACAGCCAAGAAGCCACCCCTGCCTGCCTGCCTGAGGTGCCACCTTTCACTCCTGTTGGAGGAGCACATGAATCTTATCAGAAATAAGGATGCTCAAGGTCTTAATCACTGTAAATGCATGTGTACATACTAGGATTACAACAAATGTTCTCTAAATATGTTTAAAAAAGCTAAAAGGAATATGTAAAAGTGAAAATCACTATTATTAGAAGGTTAGGATTTTAGATGATTGCTTTTTCTTTCCTCTACTTTCCAAACTTCTTATTCACTATTTATTACATGATTTTTAAATGTATTCATTAATGGACACTATAATTAAGAAGCAGAATCAAGTTTCTCAGGAAGGTTAAGCAGGGACAAAGCTAAGGCGTAGTGCCTACAACCTTACAGGGCACTGGCTACTACACAAAGGAAACCTCTGTGTCATGATCACACTCCACACCACGCACCCTACACCCCATATCTCAGAGGGCATCCAACATCCCCCGAGTGGGGACCACACAAGCAGCTAATGACACAGGGAGGAGGGATCAGCACAGCTATCACCAGTGCTGGAAAGAAGCTTAGAGCAGGATCTCCTGAAGAAGGATCTTAGAAGGAGGTCAGAGCCTCCTAAGATCCACCCTCCCCCCCCAACAAGGGTGAGTCCATGAGTTAAGTTTCACTGTGGCTGTGGAGTCCAGAAGCCACACAGATAGAGGGGAAGCTTGACAATCAACCAACCCAGGATACTACTGACAAGAAAATGAGGAGGCTGTAAGGAGAAAGAATCAAACAAGATCAAATCCACTGAGATTCAGCCCTGATGAAAGAATGTTTCAGCACCACCAGCAGCCCCGCCACCCACCCCTGCAGGGCGAATTTGTATAGATAGACCTCAGAGTCAGGCCCTGGGCTCCAGCTCCAGACCTTCCATACCACTAGCCATGATAACTACCCTCATCTCAGCTGCCTTGGGAATGGTCCCCATCTCTCCACTGCCTTCCACATGAGGAAATGCAAGCAGGAGGATTAAAATGGGAGTTTCCCTAGTCTTGACCTCCACCTAAGCACTGGTACCCTTTGGTGGTTTTCACCACAGCTGTTGGTTTTCTAGAGTGTCCTTGCAGGGACACTCTACAGGTAGAACCACACGAACGTGGGGAGCCACAGCTCTGACTGGCAAAGGGCAATAGGTGGTTTGGAGGGCCAGTTGGCACCGTCCCTCCCAAGCTGGAGCCAGGACCCTGGAGACATGAGTTTCAGAATCATGGCTGAGGAAGATTCCGGATGGCAGGGGAGGAGGGGTGAGGAGGGAAAGTCCAGGGAAGTGTAATCACCTTCCTCCAGGAAGTATGGAAAAGGATTCAAGAGGAGACAGGAGGATAAAGCCACATGTTTTTCAGGAAGGAAAAGACTTCACAAGATTGTAGAAAGAGGAGGAGGAATGAGCACAAAGGAAGAGAATCATGATGGTGGGGGTGATGGATGGAGCAAGGCCTCAGTGCAGGAACTGGGGAAGTCCAGCCCCTAGGGGATGGGGTCCCTCCCATTGAGGCAGGCTGCAGGACACAAGAGGGAGGAGGAAGTGGAGATGAGTTATGGGGAGGGAGGATCCAACCCATCTATTCCTGAGAAGAGAGGAATGGAATCGCTCCTGGAGAGCTTTCCCAGAGAATGAACAGCACGACTATGTACATTCGACCTTTAGTGTTGGCAACAGGCTCTGGGTCACAGGGGAAGCTCCATAGATGGTTCTGGCAATGGTGCAAATGGGGAGGGCCTGGCAGCAGGGGTGGTGGGGATGTCCTGCTGGACTGTGAGATCCCACAGAAGAGAGAAAAGCATGTGTTTTGTTCCTCTGATATCCATCCACTCCCAAGTGAGAGGGGATATCAGAAAGGGTCAAAGGTAAAAGACCAAGACCACAGATAGACATATCAAGGGTCAAGATCTCAGAAGTGCAAGATCACAGTAGGGAGGTGGAGGACATTGGTGCCAAGGAGGCTGAGCAGCAACAACACTGTAGAATTTGATTGATAACTGGCATGGTGCTGACGCTACAGAGGACAATAAACAGAGATGAAGAATGAGAACCCCCTGCTAAAGGTAATGTAACAATAATTCTGTGAGATGTTAATGGATCCATGTGCACACATATATACCCACATAATTTTTTAAGGGAATGAAGTTATTCCATAGTTTGGAAAATGCCAGAGTAAGTAAATTTCTTCACTGCAGGACTTCCCAGAGCCTTAAAATGGTTATGTGCTTTAATGGACACTATGAACCTCCAAGAAGAAGAGCTACAATATGCAGCCTTTCCCAAACTTCTTTGAGAGTAGAGCCCCTTTTTCATTGTAGAAGATTATCTTGTGAACTGCTATTTGGTGGAACACACTAGGAGAGACATGGGTCCAGAGTACAAAAGACTGTGACATGGCAGCATAGCATTTCCCTGGGAACAATGAAGTGGGAAAGAAGAAGGCAGAGAGTGATCCTCAAGAGGTGGCCAAAGGAGGGTGTGTACATACATGACAGGGAGAGGGCTGAGATGGCCCCTGCATGAGAAGGTGGGACCAAAATCACAATGGTGCTGCAAGTGGGACTTGTAAGCTGCACAAGGAAAGCCAGAGAGGCCAAGGGGTGCCTCCAGGCTGTGAATGGCTGAGGAGGACAGGGCAGGGCTGGAACAATGGAAGCCCTGAGGGACAGCCACAGCCCGTCTCACACACCCACACGCAGAAGCTGCTGACTTCTGGGTGGTTCTGGATTGACATCCCCACAGTAGCATGGCTTCCCTTTCACCTGGCCACAGCCAGGGTGCTAGAAGGGGAGGGCAGGCATAATTAACAGTCTGTTTCTCTGCTTACCACCTTCCTTGCACTGCTTTCTTTGTCTCAGAAATGCAACTGTTACACTGCATTACTTAATTCAGGGTTTTGTCGTTTTATTTTTGTGTTTTATGTTTCAAAAGCTCAGGATGTAAATGTAAGGCGTGGTTTTTTTTTTTTTTTTTTTGGTTTCCTCTTTGTTTTGTTTCTTTCTATGCATCCAGTCATTATCTCCCTGGCACCCTCAGTATCCTTCCCGGGCATGAAAGGGCAATGTTCCCTAAGCCCCAGAGGTTCCTGGCACCACAAGTGCAGATGAATAAGGCTTACCCCAGACTGCTAGGCTCACATCTGCACATGGGAGCGAGCTGCACACCCCCAGATCCTTTTGTCCTGCTCAGGGAAGTTTCTTTCTGCCTCATTCCTGACTGCCTTCCTGACATGCTGCTTCTATGAGTTCTATTAGGACAACTCCCTACTACTTGGGAAGATCTTTTCTGGGGCTGGCACAAAAGAAATGGAAAGGCTAGCAGAATACTCAGGGGACGGGAAGGACATTAGGTTAACTAAGTACCATAAAAAGAAGGAGGACTAGGCCAGGCATGGTGGTTCATGCCTATAATGCCAGCATTTTGGAAGGCCAAGGTGGGAAGATTGCTTGAGGCCAGTTAGTTTGAGACTAGCCTGGGAAAACATAGCAAGACCCTGTCTCTACCAAAAACAAAATTTTAAAAAATTAGCCAGGAATAGTGGCATGCACCTGTAGTCCCAGCTACTTGGAAGGTTGAAGTGGGAGGATCACTTGAGCCTAGAAGTTTGAGGCTGTGGTGAACTATGATCATGCCACTACACTCCAGGCTGGGAAACAAAGTGAGACACTGTCTCATAAAATAAAATAAAATTAACTTAAATTTAAAAAAAGGAGGAGGAGGACAAGATCAGATTGGGCTCTCCAGGGGGCTATGGGCCATGTCCTTGGGAGCCCAGGCCATGGGCATCAGCAGAGGTGATGCTCAGTGGCCTCCAGGGCTTCTACACAAGTTCTTCCTATATGCACAGCAAGCACTCAGAATTCAAGCTTACAAAGGCTTTGGAGGTTGTCTTACCTATGCCTCTACCCAGCCTGAAATTGCTGCTTCTAACCCTGCTCAGGAACAATGGCCTACTCTATATCATGGCAAAGACTTTGCAAATGTGGTTAAGTTAACCATCTTGAGATGCAAAGACTATCCTAGATTATCTGGGTAGACCCTAAATGTAGCCCTGGTATCCTTAAAAGAGAGAGGCAGAGGGAGATTTGACATAGACAGAAGAAGAAAAGATAATGTGACCATGGAGGCAGAGAGCACAGTGATGTGGCCACAAGCCAGGGAATGCCAGCAGCCACCAGAAGCTGGGAGAGGCAAGGAATGGATTCTTCCCTAGAGTCTCTGGAGCGAGCACAGCCCTGCTGACACCTGGACTTCAGCCCAGTGAGACTGGCTGCTGGCCTCCAGAACTGAGTTAACAAGTGTTTGTTGTCATAAGCCACAAAGTTTGTGGAGATTTGTTATAGCATTGATGGGAAACTAATACACTACCTAAACAAATACAAATGGCTGTGTTCCAATAAAACTTTATTTGTAAAAAATGGTAGCTGGCCCATAGGCTATAAATTGCTGATCCTGCAAATTAGACATCAAGAAGTTCAGGTGTACAAGATGAGTAAGAGAGAGAAGTCAGGAATAAATATTTGGAAGTCACTATTCAGAAACAAACAACAACAACAAAAACCACCTAAATACACTCACTTGAGTTTCCTTTCTAGGAAAGAGAGATAAGAAGCAGCCAAAAAAAATGTTTGGATCTCTTGTCCATGACCCTCTCAGAAAAGAACCCAAATAAACCTCAGGCAATGCACCAAGTGCACAGACTTCCAGCTGAAGTACCTCTCACAAGGGCCTCAGTGGCTCCTGCCAGGCCAGGGAGGGTGAGGCGGTGTGAGATATATGTAGGGAGTCCACCCCTGGTTGTGAGTGCCCTCTAGAATATCCAGCTGGGACCAGAGCTCTCCTTTCTCCTTCTGTTTTCCTCTGTGGAAAGGAAGCAGCTGCCCTGAGCATAACTTCCACCCCCACTTCTCTCTCACTGGCACATGAAGAAGTGAATTCAGAATGCATGTGCACACACACAAATTCTCCAGGTCCATTACGAAGGAAAGTTCCACACATACTCACCAGACACGAAGGCCACTTTTTCCTTTAGGATGGGAAGGACATCAGAAGCTTTCAAACCATCATTCCGAAAAGACCCTGTGGGACAACACAGCAGAAGGAATCAGGGTCAGAGAGGCCAGCTGGCGGAATCCCTGGGTCCCACCCTCAGCCTCACAACCCTGTCATTTTCAGAAGGTTCTACCTTGTTCAGGCCCTACAGCCCAGCCCAGCAGATGAGGAGACAGTCCACAACAGGACACTTCCACATGATGCCAGGCCACAGGCGTGACCAGGGCTGCAACTTCCCTGGTCCTTCTCAAGGAGAGGATGGTCCGAGTCACCTCCTACCAAGTGTACAAAGCCCCATGTCCTGGGGGCCACAATGATGTCCCTGTTGCTGTTGAGCAACTTGAAGATGAGGGGATTTCAAAAAATCATTTTTGTTCCCTAGTGCCCAGCACAGTGTCTGGTATACAGTCAGCACTCAATAAATATCTGTTGAGGTAGTTAATTGATATCAAGATGGATTACAATGCCCTAAATAATTCCTCTTGCCTTTCCTCTAAGTGGCACAGTGACTCTTAGTCTTCATTTCACAAAGGGGAAAAGTAAACCACAGAACTCCCACAGACGGAAGCAAAGTTGATGACAGTATCTTCTCTACCCTTCTTCCTCCTCCCCAGGATGTCATCAGCCTCAGTCCATGACGGACAGGACGTTGGGAGACACAGATCTCCTGGGAAGGACATGCACTGCCTACTTTAACTCGTTGTCTTTCTAAATATTGCTTCTCAGTTGGAAAGTCCTTTCTAAGGTCTCGCTGAGGTCCTGTTAGGGGGCTGGAGGCAGAGCTTGGGGCTCACAAAGAATGGAGAATAAAGATGTGCCTGGAGAAACAGTAGCCTCAGGAGGCAAAGGACAGCCCAGCACAGTGTGAGATGTGTGGGAAGGAAGGACCTAGCTTACACGCACACAAAACCCCAGGCTAGCACACTCTACCCTATCATTTAACCCAAGTACCCCACGAGGGCACTTGAGAAGAACCACCCACACTCATAACCCTTGGAGCTGTAACTGAGGTCTCTGTTATGTATCACCATGAGGGACACAACACAGATGGACCCTGGTGAGCGGTTCTAAGTCAGCTCAGTAAGACAGAACCAGGGACCATGGATACCCCTACTGGTGCCTTTCTCTATATTTGGAACCCAAATCTGACAATCTACAGAGGACAGCAACATGCTGAGCAGAACCATCCCACTCAATCCCTCTATCTCTAAACATTAGCTGTTTCAAGAGACCCATCTGGGAATTTTGGCAACAACCAAGGATTAAGATCACTGGCCTAGGGAAAGGAAATGGGCCTGTTGCACACTGAACCAAGGAGGAAGAGAGATGTGTCCGTAGAATGTCAGTTTCTGTGGTCAGAGGGCATGCCCTAACGTAAAACAAATTTCCAAAGTATCTCTGACCATTTCATTTCTTTCTTAATTTTATTTTGTTACCAAATGAAGACAGTGAGCCTTTTTTTATTCATAAATTGCTTCTTTTTACAAATTGACAGAGAACCAGCTACAAGGCTCACTTTGAGAAGACCTTGGACAATAGAAGAAGAAAGCAAAATTATAAAAAGAAAGCTCTAACTTCAAAGACTATAGGCATTGTTTTGTTCTTTCTATCCTTGGTTTCTACAGATATTTACGCTCTAATCTTATTTTCCACACAGAAAAACAACTAAACCTCACCAATGAAGACTAATTAGGATCAATACAAATTATATAGAACTTACAAGTAGATATACAGAATGTTTTCATCCTCATGCAATAAGGTGGCATTTCAGCTTCCTTGGCAGGAGGAGTCCTATTAGGCTTTATTCACTAGACAAGTGTCATCTTTAACTAGCACATGAATTGTTCGTGTAAAATGATGCTTCCACACCAAAATAAATTATTTTCATATGCGAAATATACCTTTCTATACATCAGTTTTAAAACACTTTCTTCTACATCACTATGCATTCTATTAATTTTTACAGAAAAAAAAGTAATATGAAAAGTTAAATTTCAGTCCTGTCTTCTTCCAGGTTATTTATAAATTCAAAAACAGCAGGCCCAAACTAATGAGATTTTACTGTATAAAGAGAATCCACATAACCCTCTTCTCTCCTAAACTCCTGTCCTATTTTCTCCACTGTCTTTCCTCTCCTCCCCTGCTGTGTTAAAGTATACAAGAGGGCCCTAATTCCAAACAGTTCCCATACCTTAAGAGTTTCAAATCTGCTATGATGGAAGCAAAAGGTTCCTTGTCCTGTGCCTTCCCCACTCCCACAGAAGGAGAAGCAGCTCCAAATCTCATCTTCACACAAACTCATTGTCCCCCACCTCTTCCTTCTCCCCTCCAGGGTCCAGGACTGAGAGAAGACATGTGGCTGTCCAGACAGCCTGCAATCATGGGCTCCAGTAAATATCAGTATCTTGAGTTGGGCTGTTCTAAGATTCCTAGGGCTTCCACTTCCCAGGCCAGAGTCCTTCTCCAATCAGACCACTGCAGGGCTATCTGCCTTGTTGTGTGCCCACCATAAGACAACCTAAAGTGTCCAGATTGGCAAAATCCTTAACTAGAGAATAATCATTTTCAATAACAACAAGATTTTTCACATTATAAAAGGATTTGCTTCAGGGTCTCTGTAAATAAAATTCTTTAGTGACTTGAATTAATTTTCCATTTGCCAAAAAATTGAATTACAAATAACTTTTCAACAATATATGTATTATGTAAAGCCAAGTAGAGCTAAACTAATTAGCCCAGCAGCTCATAAATTGGTAACCTTGTGTATAAAACCTATTTGCACTGGCTGAAGATCCAATGTATCAATTCCCCCAGGGCCCTTGTGAAACCAGCTGTTGGAATAAATAAGAAAGGGTAAGTTTATTGAATGCTAACTGAAACAGGACCAAAGATGAAATAGCAACATCTTTTCACTATCAGATACCTGCCTTGGTAGACTCATAGTAAATGTTCAATAAATATTTGATGAAAGAATAAATGAATGAATGAAATGTTAACCCTTCGTAAAATGACTTACACAAGGTCAGTGGCCTCATCTGTCACACCAAGCACTGGTGATCTGAGCACATAGTCTCCAGGGTATCACTTAGCTCTAATACTCTGAGACTTTCTCAACCTTTTCTTCATATTTATTGGCCTTTAAGATCCTCAGTTTATCAGATCAATATGCTTTGAAAGGAAGTACTGGGAACAAATTCTCTAACAAGATTTACTGTACCTTGGGAAGATAAAAGGACCCTTTCCTGGCTTCCCAGCCCATTCTTTCCCAGAATCAGGTTAGGGATAGGAATGCTGAGGGCAGGTCACTTCATTTTGCAGGTAGCCCAAATTGTCAAAATGAGAGAATACAGATGGAAGAACTTCTGTGAGGCATACACACCTTGAGGAGGCAGGCTTACACTGCAATTGCTATTTCTAATAGCAAAGTATATTTGATAGAACTATTATACTACAAACTCTAGGCCAATCATAGACCAGAGTTTCCTCCTTTAAAATGAAAGCCTGTTGAAACAGTAGGCTCCTTACTACCTTTAAAGAAGGCCCAAGAAGAAATAAAAATTCCTAAGCTCTTGGAATGACTGCAGGAAACAAACAAACAAACAACCAAAATCAGAGGGCACCCTTATGGACCTGACCCAATGTGTGTGTTGTGCTGCTTTGTAAGGACAAAGGCATGCTTCACTGGCATTCAGTGCTAATCCCACCCCATTCGTGTCCTGCTGTTGTCAGAATTACAAGCCTGCTGTTCCGTTAATTAGCAAAGTTGAAATGCTCTACATCTATTAGGGAAGTACAAATTACCACCACCATCTCTCCAGGATCTTCCAGCATGGGTCTTCTCCAAGCCCCACTTTTGCTCTTCCTTGCTCCAAATGTTTTATGCTTACTTTGCTGCTGCCTGTTCCTCTTCACATGTTCCTAGTCACCATTTCCCATGTTGGAAAATGGTAATCATCCTCACTTTGGCTCCCAGCCTCTGTGTGGCCCCATGTGGCAATGGAAGTCCTGGCCCTTGTGCCAAGGGCCCTGTCCATAGTTTTGTGGGTCTGAAACAGCAGTAAATTCCTCAGGGCAACAGGGATTCACCACTATTCCACATGAATAGCAGTTGCTTGTGCTCCATGCTGACTTCCTTCAGAAAGCAATCCTGATTTTAATAAGCAAAGAAACAAACAACTGAGTGAGCATTTATTGAGCATTTAGAGGTACAAGCTGCCAGAGTACCCATGGATTGCTCTTTGTTTCCTTTTGGTACTCAGTCACACACCTTAATTTGCACTTATTTAGAAGTTACTATGTAAGTATTCTAATGTTGCTTCAAGGAGGCCTGAGCCCAGTTCCACCAATAACACTGAACATTGACCAATGCTCAGATTTCTGCCTCCTCTTCCTACTCTGTCCCTTTGACGTCCAGCATAACAGCCTTGCTCAAAATGGCACTGAGACACCGAATGATGTGCTGCACAAAAGAGACCTGGCTTACTATTGAGAGTTTCAAGAGCTCATTTTGCCGGACCTTAATTTGGTTGTAATTTTGACATTTTTCTACTCCCAAGGTCATTCTTTCATCAAGTCTTTATGGAGCACTTACTGTTTGCTAAACCTTATGTCAGGCATGGGCAATCCTAAGACAAATAAGAAATGGATCCTGCTCTCTAGGAGGCCTCCAAGCTGAGGAGGACAAGTATGCAAGTAGGAAAACTAGAGAGCTGTTGTCAGAGACAGGATGTCACCAGTATGCAATGCAAGGGGGCGCAAAGGAAAGGCTTATTAATGTGAGTCCTAAAGCCTTGCTACTCAAAGTAATAAGCATCACCTACCATCTTGCTAGAAAGGCAGAATCTCAGGTCCTACCCCAACCTACAGAATCAGAACCTGCATTTAAACAAGAAACTCTGGTGCATCATATATACGTTACATTTTGGGAAGCTCTGTACTAAAGTATCTCTTCTCATTCCAAAGCTGCCTCAGAGGCAGAGACAAGAGAAAAGCATCCTTTAGTCTTGCCTAAATAGGACCTCTAAAAT